AGAGCATTAAACGATTGGGAAATTGAGGAAATTGCCAAGTTATTAGAGGTCCTCAATAATTTCCCAGGTACATCTCCAAGATCTGACAAGCCAATATGGAAAATACACAAGCAAAGGGTCTACACAGTGAAGTCATGCTATTGGAAGATGAACTACAATATTTCATTGACTGAGAGGTGGCCAATGGCCATGGAAACTAATTTGGAAGGTGAAATGTCCATCAAAAGTCTCATGTTTTGTTTGGCTACTGATTAGGAAAGCATGCCTTACTCATGAAGCTTTACAGAAAAGAGGCATGCATATTTGTTCAAGATGTTTTATGTGTGAACATGAAGCTGACGTAAATAATCATCTGTTCATTCACTGTCAAACCGCTACAAGGTTGTGTAATACGTTTTTGTGCAGTCTGAGGATTAGTTGGGTGATGCCAAAGACTACTTTGGAGGTCCTGAACAGCTGGCCAGGAGTTGGAAGTAGAGGCAAGAAGGAAGAATGGTGGAAGATCATCCCAGCATGTATCTGGTGGTCTATATGGAAGGAAAGGAATGCTAGTGTTTTGAAGGACAGAAAATCAATTTTCAGAGGATTAAAACAAACTGTAATAGTCTTCTACTTTTTTGGTGTAAACAAGACTTGGTGGGGGATGGGGTAGAATTAGTTGATTTCTTAGGAAACTTGTAATCTGATTACCACCATGGAGGTGTGCTCATCACACTATGGGATGTAAGTTTCCAATTCATCATCTCTTGGATGATGAATCTTTTGTGAATACAAAGTTACCCTTGTATCAAAAAAAAAAAAGTAAAGTCCTGAAGTTGTTTTGCATTAACATTAGGATACAAGTTGGACCAACTAAACAAATTGGCCATACACCTAGTGAAAAATGCCTAAAGCAGTTGACTCCTCATCAAAACATCTTCTACTCCTCTCTAACCAAATACACCAAAATAAACAAGCAGGTATCATGATCCAGATCTTCTTGATCGCTTTGTCAACTCTCCATAGGCTCCAACTCCCATAACCATCCTTAACCGAGAGGGGTGTAATCCAATTGAAACCAAATAGACAAAAAACATACTCCATAATTATGAGGGCCACCTCACAATGGAGAAGAAGGTGTCTGGGGTTTCAACCTCTTTTTTGCACATATAGCATCTGTTTGGGAGCTATTCTTTATGTTGTCTTGGGTAAGATATGCCTCATATAGAGTTTTCCAAGTAAAACAAACAACCTTAGGTGGTAGCGTGGTCCTCCAAATGAGTTTCCGTGGCCAGTTATCTATCATGGGGTTTCTAGAGCACAAATGTTGATACCCTTCCTTGACTGTATAAACTCCTCCTTTCTGGTGTCCCCATGTGAGCTTATCAACTGCCTAAGGATTAATGTGACAATGTTATAGTCTTGCAAAAAAGATCTACCAGATCATTCACTATCTACCAGATCATTCACTTCCCAATCGTGCATATTTCTTCTAAATACCATGTCCCAATTGGTCCCTTTTCTATTAGTAGTAATAACAGAATTGGGATCTTGAGCAATTCTAAACAAATCTGGGAAATACTCCTGAAGAGTGTTACTGCAAGCCATTTGTCTGTCCAAAATTTTAGGAGTGAACCATTGCCCAATTCAAAGTAAGCATTTTGATCAAATGTGTCCCACAACATCCTAATACCCTTCAACAGTCTCACTCCATAAGAAAGTTTAGTGGTATCTGTGCACCATTGATTCAGCCTTCCATGCTTAGCTATGATAACATCTTTCCAGAGCCCTGCCTCTCCCATATTGTATCTCCAAAGCCACTTCATCATCATACTTTTGCAGTGGGCAACAAGGTTCTTAATGCCAAGACCTCCTTGGTATTTTTGGTTGTGTGACCTTCTCCCATTTGATGAGGTGAAATTTGTGTTCCTCTATTGCCTTCCCAGAGGAAGGTCCTTCTTAACTTGTCAATCTGTTCTATAATCTCAGTTGGCATTATGAACAAGGCCATGAAATAAGTAGGCAAGTTGTCTAGAACATTAGTGACAAGTGGTACTCTACGTCTCTACCACCAAAGGAGATATACTGTCTTTGCCATGTTGCCAACCTCTTCTCAAACTTTTCAATAGCCCCAGTCCATATTTCAATGGATTCATACTGGCCACCCATAGGAAGATCCAAATATGTGGAAAGAAAATGAGCCAATGTTACAGCCCATGATATCGGCCAGCTCATCCAGGTTTAAAACTTCATTAACTTGGTAGATGGTGCTCTTTAGCATATTCATGTGGAAACCTGAAATAGCATCAAAAATAACAAAGTACAATTTTCTTTGCAGATTCTATCTGTTATTCACCCTGTGCTATACCCTCAAGACATTTTCAGAATATTATTAGAAAATATGGCTGCTTCTGATTGTTTTCAAGTCCTATATAAGTAATACACCTGTATACATGTCTAATTCATTCATAGCAAAAAGCAAGAATACCATTTGGCGCCACAACTCCAGGCATATTATTCTTCAAAGTAATGCATTCAATTGCAACTTTAACTTTATCATCAAATAATCCTATCAAACTTCCTGTAGATCTGTACTCTTCCTCGAGAAAGGACAAGATATGGATGTAACTCATATTGTTGTCAAAGGAGCATTTAAGCCCTGAAGAGAGGTTCAAAATGTGTTGAGCGTTTCGCCTCGCTTAATGTGTTTCAGTGTCGTTATTAAGGTTCAAACTTCTAAGACATAATTTTCCTTGTCAATTAGCCTCTTCTGAAAGGGCGACACTAAACAATTGATATTTCACATTATCATAAAAAAATCAACTTCTTTGTTCATATATTTGTCATTCATGCTTATAATTATTAATCTTGGACTAAACATACTATATATTTGTATTTTTCACCCTTTGTACCTTTTTTTATTAAAGCTCACATGTTATTTGTGCTTAATGCCACAGGGAACCTTATAGTTTCTTTGCGCTTTATGCTTTTGATTACACTAGTAACTCAGTTGCATTTTTCCTTTAGACCTCCAATTGAACAGAGCCCATGTGTTGTCTTTTCAACGATAAACTACATACTTCAGTAACTTCAAGAAGGAAAAAAAAAAGCATACTTCAATAACCTAAAGCCTCAACCTTTCAAATTCACGGAACTGAAATAGCAATTTCAACAATAAATGCCTAAAGATAAAAGATGAGAAAAGACAACTTCCACGATGAATCAAGTACCTCCATGACTTCCAGCCAAAATATACCGAGCCTAATAACTCAACAACTAGGAATAGGCATGCCATAATGATATGGCAAGCTCACTAATACATGTGGCTTTTATACTAGCACACCAAAGTAGAAAAAGAAAAAAAATGAAGCAGACAGATAACACTACACTACAGAAACACAAGTATTCCTTAAACTCCTACAAATTAAATTGATAACATAAAAAACTGCAAAAGCTGGTCCTAATAAGCCCACAAGAAGAAGATAAAACTCAACTACATCATAAAACATGCAAAGATACACTTCATCCTTTTTTTTCCCATTGTCATTTTCTCTTAACTGAAGTTACCAGAACATGCGGCATCAACAGGGTAAAACCCCCAAAGCCAAAGTTTTCATAGCTCAAAATTACAGAACTACCAGAAATTGAAGGGACATGTCACCACAAACCCTACACACTTGCACTTTAGAGCAGTAAACCTAGAGATAAAAGCCCTAATAGCAAAAATATTTGACAAAAAGATATTTAATCAAAAAGCCCTAAAAAGGTAGTGGCAGCATAAATGGAAGAGTGAGAATAGTTACCCCGAGGACGAGGGCGTTTGAAGGCGGCTTGAATGTGACGGAGGAAATCCGGTGGAGAAGATGAGGAGGAAGACGTCGTGGTTGTTGTTGAAGAGAGTGTAAAGGAACGGCTGACATTAGCGGATTCTGACGGATCGATTGGAAGAATGGAAATGGGCTTGGACGCTGCTTCTGGTCCTAGAAGGTTCGCCTTCTCACCTTCCATTGATCAATTGCAACTTGCATTTCTCTCCAATATGTTCACGACATAGTACTACTACACAATTGACTAATAAAAGTATCATATACCCAAATATATAGAAACAGAGAGAAAGAGAGAGATGAGATCTATATAGTGCTTAGTTTATGAAAATGGTGATGAATCTGTGGATCCATGAACACCAAATTGAAAAGAGAGAGAGTTTAGAGCTTCTCTAAAGTTCAAAAATGGTGTCTTGGCGCTCCTCAACTGTGGGGCTGCTTCCTTTGCACTTTGACTGTGTCTCATTTTGCACTTTGCCCCCTTAATGTGTCTCATTTTGCACTTTGCACCCTATCTTATTTTATCCTTTTCTTATGATATGGCCCCGAGTGCTTTCAAGTTTCAAATATGATCTATGGAGAAAAATAATTCAAACGGTCCTTGACTTTTTAGAATGTCATCTTAGTAACTAAATTTGGGTATGTTCATAATTGTTCATCAACTTCAATTGACTCTTGTCGCTGTTTCTAAAAAGTGTGTTCAAGTAGACAGAGGCGTATCCAGGATTTATAAATGATGGTGCACTATATAAAAATGTGGATCTAAGACATAAATTTGTTCGGTTAGATTCTTTTTACTGAAAACCATTAAAATTTTAAAATCATAGGTCCAAAATTAACTTTTATTTATCCAAACTAGTTACAAAATCTTAGAAAGAAAACTAAAACAAGATAGATAAAAGATTCAAATTTCTAACCTCACCTAGAGAGGTGCACCCAATCATCATCGTACTACATTATATGATACTTCGAGTCTGGGTTCACGCATTTATATTTAAATATTTTTAAAAAATATAACACTACTATATATGATTTCGGAAGGGGACCATGGGTTCACGTGAACCCAGTGACCCCCTCTTGTATATGCCCCTGCAAGTAGGTGAACTTGTACTATTAATTTCAAATATTTTGAATTTGTTGGGAGCTTCTTTTAAACGTGTGGATAATTTTTGAGAATCTCAAAAAAAGCATCTCCAAATGGCATTGGATATGGGTGAACTAGAAACGGGTAGAGGGTTGAATCAAGAACTTGATCTTGTTAAAGCCAGTGATACTCGTTGGGGATCTCACTACAAGTCATTTGGAAAGTTTATTAGTAGCTTTGACTCTATTGTTGATGTACTTGATACTCTTGTTGAAAATGCAAGTACTTTGGATGAAAGAGCAAGCGCATTGGGATTTCTCAGAAGTTGTCAAACGTTTGAGACTATTTTCTTGTTGCATTTGATGATAGATGTTTTAGGAATCACAAATGATCTTAATGTTTCATTACAGAAAAAGGAGCAAGACATTGCAAATGCCATGATTCTTGTAAAGGTAACAAAGAGAAGGTTGCAAGCTTTAAGAGATAATGAATGGGATCCTCTCTTAAAAAAAAAAAATTGGATGGGATTCACTTAAAGAAAAGGTAGAAGCATTTTGTATCAAGCATCATTTCATTGCCCAATTTTGATGATCCATATGCTAATTCTGGAAGATCACGACGTAAAGTAGTTATTTGTACTACTTTGCATCATTATCGTGTGGATGTGTTTTATAAAATCATTGATTGGCAACTACAAGAACTTAATGATCGTTTCAATAAGGTGACAAGTGATTTGCTTAATGGAGTATCTTGCTTGAATCTAATTGATTCATTTTCTAGTTTTGACATAACGAAGATAATGAGAATGGCTGAATTATATCCTAATGATTTTGATGGGTCCAACGTGAGAACTCTTGAGAATCAACTTGTTAATTACATTATTGATGTTCGTGATATTGATGAAAGGTTCTCCAATTTGGGTGGACTTGGAGAACTTTCAAGAAAGTTGGTTGAGACAAAGAAGCATTTAACCTATTCTCTCGTATTTCTTTTAGTGAAGTTTGCTTTGCTTCTACCTGTTGCCACTGCTACAGTTGAAAGAGCTTTTTCAGCAATGAAGATTATCAAGAATGACTTGCGAAATTGAATGGATGATGAATTCTTAGATGGTTGCATAGTGCCTTATGTAGAGAAAAAAGTATTTAAAGATATTTCTAATGAGTGTATTATGAAAACATTTCAAGAGATGAAGTGTCGTCGAGTGCAATTATAGTTACCACTTTACATATTTTGGTGTGTATGAAACTATCCGTCAATATATTTATCCTACTTCATCTTCCTTAGTTTATCCATTGATATTTTATAAGTTTCGGTTTTAAGAATTTTCATTTTGGATAGTTGGTTAGTTTGATATTGAACAGGTAAAGAGTATGAAAAACTTGGAGCACTATGTAGAAATTAATAATTGAGGTACGACTATTTGAAGCCAATCTTTGTAATTTGATTAGCAAAGTTTATTTTTTTACTTGTCCTAAAGTATGAACACCCTTGGCGAAAATCCTGGCTCCGCCACTAGTTCATACCATAATTTATCTACTCAAAATAGTTACTTGATAATTGGAATTACTAGCAGATAACTTTTCAGATCCTGTATATATATTTACTAGTAAAATTATTCGCGCCTCGCGCAGAAATTTAATATTACGAAATTTATAAAATAATACTTATAACATATCAGTCATTAAAACTAAAACACTATATTATCTTACATACAAGATTATGTAGTAACGAACATTAATAATGTAAGGAAAACGATAATTATAACATCTTATCATTTATCCTTCAATCGATCATTTTTAATTTGATTTTATAATTCATCTTTTTGCTTCCAGAAAGTGTTACTATTTGATATTTTGGGGGAATCAAATGAAAATCAACCTGAGATATTAAATTTTCTAATAAATAAATAATTATTGGTAAAGGGATAAATAAATTTTAAAAGGCTGAAAAAAGTGAACAAATATTTTAATTCTAATGTGTAGAAAGTTCAACCCTACCTTTGATTTACATGCATTATTACTAGGTAAAGAGCCCGCGCTTTGTGCGGGGGTGTAATTTTTTTGTTTCCAGTAATATATTGAGTGGTGAGTACTATGTTTTCCTTTTTCTGTATTTATCTTTTTCAATTGATGCGTAAACTTTGTAATCATATGAGAGTAGCAATGTCTATACATTGTTGAAGTGTTGTGCATGTCAGGGATGTTTATTTTTTGCAGACAAAGTTATTTATGATGTATAAGCACATGCCCTTTAGTTTAATGTGTAATTGTAGGTTCAATTGTATTAATGATGGCCGAGGTTGTACGACAAATAGTATATTTTCATTAAGTTTAGACTTGTCTATTATTAAACTATAAAGATGGGGAACATGTGGCCACATTTTTTGTATATTGGAATTCTCAGCTCAATCTGATTTGAGTACGTGTTGTTTCTCTTACCGGCCACATGAGATGGTCTTTAGACATGTAAAAAACCATTTCATATATTTATTTGTCTTTATGTTGAATTACATGTTTTTATGTACCTGTTAATTTTGGCTGTAATTATCAGTAGTAAAATTTGGTCCCGTGTATTTTTTTATGTTCGTAATATTTGTGTAAGTGAAATAATATCATATTGGGTTCAATAAGTATTCAAATAATATATGTAATAATCGAATGTTCTTTTGAGCGGTGTCTGTACTATGTTTTCCTATTTATCTTATCCAATGAATAAGTAAACTTTGTATTCATCATTTGCGTGTAATGCAAAGTTTATACATTGTTGAAGTGTTTTGCATCTTACATATTTGTTTTTGTGTGAGAAGTTCATTATGATGTATAAGCGCATCTTCTATAGTTAAATGTTTTAAAGTAGGTTCAATTGTATAAAATGATGGCTGGCGTTATACGACAAATACTATATTTCATTTAAGTGTAGACATCTTTATTATACAAAGGATGCCGAACAGGTGGCCACATTGTTTGCCTATATTGTAATTATCAGTTCTGATTAGAGTAATATAGAATATGTCTTATTTCTTTTACCAGTCACATGTGAAGGCCTTTAGACATGTAAATAAACTAATTCATTTATACATTTGTATGTCTGTTGTATTACATGTTTTTATGTACGTGCTTATTGGGGATTTTGTTAGTAGTTGGAAATTCACGTCGTTTGAATTCTTACCCGTCCAAATTACAGTGTACCTCAGAATTGTTTAAGTGCCTCTTCATACGCAGTAAAATAGTATCACGTCGGACTCAACATGTATTTAAATAATATATTTAAGGGAAAATTGTATAAAATTGTAAACTATTAATTCAAATTAAATGCTATAGCCATCGTTTATTTTAATTGTAATTCGCAGCAAACATCCCCATTTTTGCCATCTGATTCGATATACAATTAGCCATTTTCGGTATACAATTAGCCATTTTATACATTTCGGTATAAAATGTGTTTGTGTTTGTATAAAGCGAGATAAAAATGTATATACAAATACAAATACATATATTTTCGTCCTATACACTTATAATTATACAAATACAGATCTTATTATACAAATTACAATGTATAAATGAATTTATACAAAACTGAACAATTTGTATAAAATTGGATGTTTGTAGCGAATTATACAAATCAAAAGCTCGAGAAAATGACATAAATAGTCCCTTAAATATAGGAGTAGGTCTAAAATTGTCCCTTAACTATACATTTAACGGATTTAGTTCTTTAACTATTCAAAAACTTATCAGCTTTGGTCCCTTAACTATACACTTATCGGTTTTAGTCCCTTAACTATAAACTTACCGATTTAAGTCCTTTAAGTATTCAAAGACTTATCAAGTTTAGTCTTTGTCCATTTTTTAAATACAAATAACTTAGGTTTATATTAACAGAAATTTTCGTGAAATTAAATCTTTAACCATTTTTTAAGTTGTTTCTCTATCCCCGGCCTTTTTTCTTCAAACTACTCTTATGAAAAGAACAATAACATCAAGGATTCAAAATAAAATTAATGAGGAAAGAAGGTATAAGTCCTAATTTTATTCAATTAGGATAAAATTAAGCACATAATTGTTGTTAATGACTTGAATCCGCACTTAAATATGCTAATCAGTGCGGATTTTATTTAATTTACTCAAATTTCTTTACGTAAAATAAAATGAATAGAATAATAAAATTGATCTATTTAAAAAAATAAAAAAATTACAAACCTATCATTTTATAAATTTCAATTTCTGAAAAATTAAACAAATTTTGTTCAATGAAGTCATTGGAGTACAAACTTTGAATTTAACGGGTAATAATTTTTTTCTTCTTATAATAAAGTTTAGCATATTCAAGTCATTAGTAGCAATAATATGCTTCATTTTATCCTCCGTTGAATAAAATTAGGACTTATAATTTTTTTCCGAGTGAATTTTATTTTAAATCGTTGAGGTTAAGGTTCTTCGCATAAGGTTAATTTGAAGAAAAAATAGCAGAGAGAGAGAAACAATAGAAAAAATTCCTAAAGGATTTAATTTCTTGAGACATGGATTCTGTTAATATAAACCTAAGCTATTTGCATTAAAAAAAATGGACAAAGACCAAAGCTGATAAGTTTTTGAATACTTAAAGGACTAAAATCGGCAAGTTTATAGTTAAGGACTAAAACTGGTAAGTGTATAGTTAAGGAACCAAAAATGATAAGTTTTTGAATAGTTAAAGAACTAAATCCGTTAAGTATATAGTTAATGGACCATTTTAGACCTACTCTTATAGTTAATGGACTATTTATGTCATTTTCTCTCAAAAGCTCCATAACAAACATAAAATTTGTTATGGAGCACAATTATGCAAACTATAGCTATAACATACAAATATGATTTTTATGTTTGTTATATATGAAAGTTGCTCTATATTTAATAATCAAACATTCTGTTTGTGGATGAATGACATTGTAAGTGGACATAATTTTCCCCAGCAAGTGCAAGTTATATATTTTAACAAAGCCTTATATTACCTTCCAAAAAAACAATTTGTATGTCTGATGTTACATGTTTGTATTGGTTGCTCTGATAAAGTCATAGAGCCGTCAATATGGGCTAGGTCCGTTGGGGCCGGCCTGGCCTAACCCGTGATTTGATAGGGTTGGGCTACGATTTTTGGAGCCCATTTAAGAAAAGGGTTTCTTAGCCCGACCTGAATAAGCCTGCCGATTTGTGGGGTTTGAGAAATATGGATATGGTCGGTCCGTGAGCCAAATAAAAATAAAATAGACTATTAAATATAACAAGAGTCTAAACTCAAAATTCTATTTAAAGTTTGAAATATTACAATTTAAATACAAATTATGTTTATAAAATATGTACTACATAAAATAAAAATTCCCTAAAATTTCTAGGAATCACTACATAGGTCGTTGCCTATGGAATATGGTCATAGTTTTTGTGTTTTATTATGATCATTGGAAAACAATTAGGTTAATATTTTTACTTAGTTATTTATGTTTTTACTTGAAATCAAACTTAATAAATATTATAAAGATAATTTTATTTGTGGATTTGATTAACTAGTAGTAACACTAACACCATATAATATTCTCTTGTCGATATTTATAATAATATTTTAAAATTATAATCTAATTTAAAAAATTATAAAAAATATATTTGTAAGAAAAAAGGGCTGGCTCGGCAAGCTCGTACACGTACTTAGGGGATGAGCCGACCATTTTCTGGCCACACAAAAAATGGGATAGTCAGGACCGACCCGTTAAATTTCAAAGCCTGTATGGGTTAGCCCGAATTGGGTGGGACATCCCATATTGACAACTCTAGATAAAGATATGGAAGCGATTATTTAAATAAGGTTTAAATTATATTGAAAAGTATGTGGGCTCTTGAATTCATCCAACCTCAACCCTCGACCTCGACTTCAATCCAGGATGTAACTTTTGAACTGAGATTCGATCCAGACACCCGATCCAAAGATATGATTTGAGAATCAAACCTGACTCTCAACCCTAACATCTGATTCAAGATTCATCATTTGAATGGGAAAATGCCCCCCCCCCCCCACTCTCGACCCCAACATTTATGTAACATCTCGCAATTTGAAATA